ATTACAGTTGCAGATTCAGGAATTTAATGATGGGGGAGGGGTGGTATAGAGGTCAGGGTGTCTGGAGCTGCGTTGAAGCCCCATGGGGGTTGGAAGCACATTCCTGGTAGGGTCCGGGAACGAACATCTGCTATAATATGTGCCCCCCCCCCCTTTGATTTAGAAAACCAATCGTCACCTTGCAGGAATTTTAGAATACATTGCCATAGCGGTAAAATAATATTTCGGAATACTGTAGATCACTAAATTTTCGCGACACCTTATTTTCGCGAGATAGTCATTGACTCCTGATAAGCGAGACAAAATTTTCACGAAATGTGGTTATTGCTCTATATAATCTTATGAATACTATCATACGCGAGAATTAAATTTTCGCGAGCACAGTGTCTCGCGTAATTACGCGAAAATAAAGTTCTCGCGAATAAAAAGTGATTTACAGTATCTCATACCATACGTGTAGATCTACTGATAAGTTTATGTTTAATGCTAGTAACAAAAAAATAATTAATTACATGCTTGTTTTACAAAATACAAGCAAATTTTCAAAAAATCAAATGGTGGAGGGGGGGGGGGGGCTCGACACAACGGGCCTGGATCCGCCTTTGAATTGCATGTTTAATTTAAACCTGTCTTGAAAGCACTGATGTCAACATTCAGCATGATAAATATATAATCTAAATCATACTTTAGAAAAGCTGCATGATAATTTTCAAAAAAACGTTAAAAAAATCTTTTTTTGAACATAAAGTCAATATCGTCCAATATGAAAGAGACGCTCGTTTTTATAAGAGGTACATGTATAAATGTAAACTTATGTCGTTTGACTGTTTTTCACTGCATATATTGATTGAAAATTTATCATATTATTATTTTATTATGGAAGACTGAAGAATTTGGTTATTCGACATATGCCGGCTTATTATGACGTCATGTTTTTAATGTATTGCGTCATTGATTTCCATGCAATGTACCTTGATAAATTTTACGAAAAAAAGTTTTTGTAGTTTTCATAACATTCAGATAGAGATTTAAACAATAAATTTCTGTAAAAGTATAGATTAGATCATAACACATTCAGATTCAGACTTCAACATTTAATTTCTTAAAAAGTATAGATTTTAATGAGGAGAAAAGTCGCATCTATCCAAAAACGAGGTATTTTCAACTACAGTTTTTCTTAAAAACGGACGTGGCCGCACTTTTGTACAGTTATTTTTTCTCTTGCATATTAGTTACTAAAGTATACTTGTTCTTTCTGCAAAGTTTCGCATATGTACTCGGATGCGGCCACATCGAAAGATAAACTTAAAGAGGAGCAAAACGTCCAAAATAGGTGATTTCCGGAATATTTGACCGGTTTTGAACGTTATATACACAAAAGGTCACGTGAGTTGAAGAAAATTGATACCAAATTTTCACAAAGGGGAACCTTAACAATAAATTGACACAGTTCAATATATGTTATCGAGCGTTTATTAATTTTTGCCGATTTTACAGGGCCGCCTCGTTATACATACTGTACCCAGTTCTTTATGGGTCTGAATAATTTGAGTTTTTAATACTGAGGTATTTGTAATTATGGCAATGGAAAGCATTACGCATGGATGCATTACATGTCGTAACATTGCAGAAATACATAACTAATGGTTGAACAAATTCTATCTGCAATCCTAGCAAATGTTGTTATTAAAGAATTAAAAGGGTTTTTATTAAATTATTTTAAATATCTTAAAAGGTTTAATATTTATAGATCGGCAAATCGTCGCCCGATCATCGAGCTTTGAGCTACAGTTTGATTTTAACTGTCGGCCAAAATTTGGAAACCCTTTACTGTCGAACGACGGAAGATCGACTTTATAAACTGACTGCCGATGGTCGGACGATAATCGAATGTTTGTCGGCGGATTGCTTCAACTGAAGAAATCGCCCCTGACGTAGGAACAATTATTACTTAGACCACTGAACATAAAATTAATCGGTGGACGAAAAGAGGTCAAAATCGGGAAAGACATCGGCCGATGAACTGCCGACTGTCACCCAAAGAATCTCGTTTTTGCTTCAAAAACCGTCGGCTGTTGGTCGTTTTTGGAAATGTGAATGGGGTTCAAGCTTCACATTGTATAAATTATACAGTGTCAGCTATACTAAATATTTTAAATAAAAAAAAAAAAATTTTATTCTTTGATTCGATCATCTACATAATTTCCCGAAAGTTGATTCCGAACACTACAAGATATAAAACAAATTTGAAACAATCGTACATGTCACAAAACATAAATTAAAAAAATGGTTTGCTAAAGGATATTTCCAGCAAGACGGAGTACCAAGGAATACACGAGTAATTTGAAATAGTATTTATATATTACACACCGGGAAGAAGGAAGTGCTGCAATGAAATACTTACGGCCTGAGTGTTCATGGATAGTATTTGTATCCTCTGCTCTCAATATATAGTTTGATCAAACATTTTAGACAAATTCCTGTTCTTTTTACTTTACATTGCAGGCAATTTACACTGATTGTTTTTAAAAACATGTAATTAATAATCATAATTAACTGTTTAATCATTCATAAATTGAATAAAAGATACCACACAGTCTGAACAAGTCTATTTCATATTTCGATACTTTATTTGAAAAAGTCGTTAATGGTAATAAAACAACCGAGCTTTATGATTAACAGGATGACTTTAACTTTCAAATGCTAACTTCCCTTACTTATGCAGCAATATACTCTCATCGCTCGCATACGGGGATTTATATCTCTCAGCTGATTCGATACGTGAGAGCATGCTTTACGTACGAAAAATTTCTAAAACGAGGCAAGTTTTTGATTTAAAAAATTATAACAAGAATTGCAACGGTCCTATGGTTCTATGATCAATACAAGGAGCTTGCATGCACCTACGAGTGCTGTTCAATAAATAATGTCCTGAACTCTATGACATGCAACATAGAGAAATATTCATTAAAATATGTGAAATTTACAGCAACCAATGTCTGTTTTACAGACACCTGAGCAGGTAGATTTAAAGAAACATTTCACAGTAAAAATGCTTCGTACTCAATGGTTAGCAGACCTATTTTTATATTCATATGAAGCAGAATTTGTGCAAAATCTTATGCGTGAAAGAAAGAAAACACTTGCTGTGGCCTTTAACTCGACATTTAGATACTAGTATATCGACGAAGTATTGTCAATTAACAATGGTCATTTCCATTCCTACGTCGATACGATATATCCTGGTGAGCTAGAGATAAAAGATACCACAGAATCTGACATTATCTGTTTCATACTTGAATATTTTACTTGAAAAGATGTTAATGGTAATCGAGCAACCAAGCTATATGATAAACGTGATGAGTTTGCTTTGATTGTTTTGATATAACGAGAATATTTAATTTAAATCATGAAACAAATACGTAAAGCACAAGACAAAAATAAAACTACTAAAACAAGCAACTAATTGTACCTTATGTAAAATCTTTGAATGCATAAATGATTAAACATTATTATATAGGCTTTGTTCTTCAATAATCATCGGAAATATAAATGAAATGCTACATTTCACTGTCCAGAGTTTTGGACCAATATTTAACTCCGAAAAAACCGACTTATAGGCGATTATATACGGTAATGAAACTTGAATCCATTGCTTTTAACCCTCTTAACGAATTAACATTGAGATGCACTTGACAAAACAGGAATGGTCTGAAAAGAGCAAGGAATTGTAAGAGCACAAAGACAGTTTTATATGCTTGTTGTTCAAATTCTTTTTTTGGGAGACTGTCCAATTTCTGGAGGAGTCTAAAAAGCAAATTTTTGCCCAAAAAATCTTATGAGAGGAAGGACCCAGAATCAGGAATCGACTACATTAAATTTCTTCATGACAGCGTCCAAAACCACACGATCTGAGGAGTCAGGGACTTTGGGGATAAACAGAGCGTTAATGGTTTGTCAAACCACCAAAATTCGCCAGATCTTTCACCCTTTGACTTGTTTCACTTTTCAAACTTGAAAAAAAAAAACATTTCAGAAAGAAGGAACAAGTTCAGGAAATCAAACAATCTGCCATATTCCGGTAAACGAAGGGTCATACCCTAAAACGTGTTCTAAAACAATCAGAAATTCGATAAAAATATTTCGGGCATATGTTTTAATTAAAGGAGAATATTTAAGTGAAATCATTAACTAAAGACTAAATTATTGAAAAAACTTTTTTTTTTTTTGGTTTCTCTCCGAGCACAAAGGACATTATTTATTGAACAGCCCTCGTACATTCTCGTGTCTAAAAGTCCAATGCATTATTATTGTTAAGACAGTAACGGATTTTCCAATCATGACAAGGCGATTTAACCGGTCGGCAGGGGGTGCTCACTCCTCCATGGCGCCCAATTCCACCTCTGGATTTTGGAGGTCTTTGTTCGCTCTGCTCATATTTTGTATTGTTTTGTATTGTTTGAATGGACTTTTGAACTGGAATACTGTATGTTATCTCCATGTTTTTCATTCAGAGATAATTATTTAGGGAAAGACTCTATAGTTTTTTGCATGGATTCTGATGTGATCAATCGATTTGCTCGCATTATAATTTGCAAAAACACCGAAAGCGTGAAATGCTGAGCATATCGCCTTATGGTGTTATAAGGCATTTATAATTTTTGAAGTTTTATCTCCCATCAGAATATTGAAAAATGTAAATATTTTGCTGTAGAACGACATTCCTGTTCTAAGGAAGCAAATATTTTTTTTAAAATCTATTTTTATTTTAGGAGTCTTTGATTCAAGGCGTGCAAAGTAGAAAACATTGATAGCTTATTTTCACAATGGTGGCAGGGCAATCGTCTCAATTTTCCTTATTAACATGGAAAAATATTCTTCTACAGAGACGTAAGATGTGCGTGACGGTCTTTGAAATTATTCTTCCGTTGTTTTTCCCGTTAATTCTGATTATAATCAGAAACACTGCCTTCTATCATCCAAGGACCATTAAAGCCACGACGTACAACGAGGAAGACATCTACAGCTGTTACATGAGTAGAGTCTTCTATGTTCCAAATACCACCGTAATTGAGGACCTCATGAATAACACAAGAAAAATAATTTTAGGTAAAGAAATTATGGTAATTTTGAGGTACATAGGTACATTGTTTCGGCCTATCGTTAATTAATTTCCTTATTATTTACATAAAATATGCAATTATTTTTAGCCCTTCATGGAATCCCCTAATTTATATTTAATTTGATATCTCTTTCTCTCCCTCTGTATGTATGTATATATATATATATATATATATATATATATATATATATATATATATATATATATATATATATATATATATATATATATATATATATATATATATATATATATATATATATATACTTCTCTCCTTTTACCTTACACAAAAGCTAAGTTAAGTAGTCATCAATGCCTTGAATAGTAATATGCCAATTTTGTTTAAATTCCAGATAAATTCAGATATGCACATTTTCCCCTAAAAGGTAATAGGAATACTCATTACCTTCTATATTATAATTGTTGAATAAAGAAACTAATTAATTGCAATCCCATTTAAGCTTTACGATACATGTAATTACTCTTTTTACTAATAATCAATATTATTTAATGGACATTCATGAAATATTCTAAAAACTCATGGTATGTTATAACTACATATAGTTCTAAGAATTTCTGAATCTCATGTTCATCTTATTTTTTTCTCAGGATTTGCAAATGAAGAAGACATGATAAATTATATACAACGGTCTCACAAGCCCGGTCATTACAATTACTACTTGGACGCGGGAATTGTATTTGTTCCGCGCCCATTGTACATGTCCGATCTTCCAAAGGACATTACGTATTCTTTACGTATGAGCGGACAATGGGACACAAAGGATCAGTACGCTGACAAATCATTTAATCCTGGACCGGCGAATGAATGGTACAATGGTAAGCTTGATCAAATGCTATACAACCTATGGTCCATGTATTTGGTATCAGTTATTTGTGTTAAAGACAATTATCATTTGGAACTGTAGAAGTCCATCTGTTTGTGTAGACTAAAGCTCAACGCACTTTTTAAACTCACATGGTTTTTTCGCACAAAATAAGGTCAAATTTTTCTTGCAAAAAAAAAAACTTAAAATTATCGAGCTTCATACCTATACTTAGGGTATTCACAAATTATTTAATCGAGCTTTCTGTGAGACTATTTAGTTGTAACGGTCAAATTGACTTCTTACTGATGAGATTTTTTCTAAGTACTTTGCACAATTTCCGTACTTGTCTTGGTTTTGTCGAAATGCAGCGCCGAAAAAATTACTAAACTGCATAAAGAAATCATGTGAAAGGATAGGATGATAAAGTATTTGTTTTTCTTTCAACATAATATGTTGTTACTATTGAAAAGAAAATTCTTTTACATTTATGATCTGAAACTTTGAAATTTTTTGTTGGAAGGTATCTTTCATGATGCTAGATATCAGAAAGTCAACCCGAAAATTCCATCTTTTTAACATGAAAAGCAGTCAAACAGACGAGAAATACTTCTGTCATCTTGCACCTTAGTGTCATAATAATGTACAGAAAATACAAAAGTTACATAAACTGCACTGTTTCTGTATTTAAGCAAGGCAGAAGTTTGCTTTGAAATGAACGGATACAAAGACGACTACAATTGACGAGAAACCATGAAAAAATCATTTGGGAACTGTCATAATCTATCATCAAAGAGCATATAAAAATCCAGTTAACGTAGAATCTACGTCGTATGACATCATAACTAGTGAATGTCTTAAGCCTGTGCTAGATCCATTATGACGTCATAATTAATTCAATGTCACTTATTCCGGTGCTTTTCAGCTTCAGTAGAAATGGAAGAAAGTACTGCATTTTGAAATTCACCGAATTGAATTCAAAATCATGCTGAATTAATCTTAATGCAATTTATATATTTTTTGGTTATAATGCTTAATGACAATATATTTCTGGAATTAAAGAAACCTGTAGGCACCTTTCATTTACTAGATCTCGACCTTAATTAAGTTTACAAATCCAAGACTATCTTGTGTAATGAAATTACAGTGTATACAAATAAACTTATTGAAATAATGTGAATGGTATGTAACCATTTTGAAGGAATGCAAAAACCCTAAGAAATCTTAAGTTGTCAACTAAATAGTGTAATATCTTGATATTTACATATGAAATAATTCGCAAGTTATCATAATTATGTTGCATCTTGCATCTATGATGTCAGATGCGGGCTAAAAGTGATTTTACCCATATTAAAATCAAATTTTCTTAAAAGATACAGTATGGAACTTACGTGTTGAAACTGATTATTCATAGCACATATGTTGTCCCATTTTACAATGAGGGAATATAAACCATTTTACTATTGTTCACATTTAAACATGTTAAAGAAACAATTGAATACAAACGTGCATAAGTATGATATATCAGTATAATGTGTCATCATTTTCTTTTCAGTGTACAAAATGGGCTTTCTATGTCTAAAGTATAGTCTTGATACTGCTATTATGGAATATATCAATTCCTCAATCAGTCTACCAGATATTAAGATTCAACGAATGCCGTATCCACCATATGTAAGAAACCCTTTGGCAAATTTCGTAAGAATCACTATTGCCATCACCACTGTCGTTGGTCTTATTCTATCTTCACTCCAACTGACAAAGGAAATCGTCCATGATCGAGAGAAGAAACTGAAAGTAAGGAAAACATACGAGTGTATTTACATGAGTAATTCTCTGTTATGTCATTACCTTCTTTATGTATTGAACATGAAGTCACAGAATTTTTTTTCAACTTTTTTGTGTTAAAAGAATTTGATGCTCTAACCGGCGAAAATGGTTGCAGGGTGTCATTGTTTTCATAACAAGATGCCGTCAGTTTGAAATTTAATTTATCAATGTTGAACGGTACTAACTTGAGCAACATCGGAGAATGTGCAAATGTCGGAGTGTTTCCAAATGTTGAAGAATGGATGCCTTATTTGAATGATATAAATTTTAAAATGCTACATTGAAGTGAAATATTTTTATCCATGTTTATTTAAATACCTGGAGTTTGTTCATGTAAGACATAACATTAATGATAATTGAGTGTTTTTCAGAACATAAAATGTATGCAAAATGGGGTCACGGTTACCACCTCATAGAAATTTGACACTACTCTTGACAATGTATAAAGAACAACATATATGCTTTCAATGAGTGGTCGATCTGTTTTCTTAGTTTTTGATAAAGTTACATAAAAATTTGTACATTGAAGCTATAACATACTTTAAAACTCTTGAAAAATATTTGTCTGTAACCAAATAAAACATAACACATAGGAAACAATTTTTTTCTCTGTCTAACACCATAGTACTAAATTAAATCTCATCAAAAATCAGTGACCATGCTTTCCAAAAATGTTTGTGGTAACAACAATTTGCTTTCAGTATAATTTACGTAATTATTAGTTTACATTTACAAATCATTAATTGAAGAAAATTAAGGGGAAATAAATCTTGTTTTAATTTTTTTTTTTTTACAGGAAACCATGAGGATGATGGGTCTGAGTTCCTTTGTTTACTGGTTCTCCTGGTTTTTTAAAGGATTCATCTATCTGATCATCACCTTCGCCATCACTGTTCTCATCTTTCAGGCTGGACCTAATAAGATGTTCCAATTCTCGGACTCCTCTTTACTTTTCTTCTTCTATCTGTCCTATGCAGTATCCGTGGTTTCCTACTGCTTTTTGTTCAGCACGTTTTTTGACAAAGGTGATTTGCTTAAATGATACGTTAAATATTTGTTATTTTAATATTCATAGAAAAACGTTCTTGAAAAAAATCATTCTCATTATTTGATAACTTTTCACTTCATATGAAGAATATGCAGAGGACTCATTTTAATTCAAGGAATAAATATCAATTTATCAGTATAGTAAAAACCTGATTCTGTTTCATTATCACAGTTAAAGAAATAAACTGGCAATTCATTGTCATATATTGTAAAGGATGAAATAATTGTGAACTACATTGGTCCTGCTATCCCCAGTAACCCTGAGAGGAGTCATAAAACCGTACAAATTCTCATATTCATACCTAGAAATCAAGCATTCAAACTCTTGGCAAACCTATGATTATAATTGAGCTTGTATTGGGCAAGGTTTTGTTGAAAAATAGGATCATATTATGTGAAAATGTATGAATTCGTGAAAGTTCGTCTACTTTCCCCTGTATTTTAAGTACTTAAAAAAATAATAGATATTTATGATTACTTGAATGGCCAAAATCAAAATATTTCTTCATTATCATACGTAATGACAGGCTAACTCTGTTTACTTTTAGCAAACACTGCCTCTTATTTTGCCGGATTTTTCTTTTTTGTCACAATCATACCAAATTTTGCGCTGGATGCAAAGTTTTCGGACATGACGAAGCCCCAGAAGATGGCAATATGCCTGTTGAACAATATGGCAATGGCATTTGGCTTTACATCGGCATCAGAATATGAAACAAAAGGTGATTCATAATACACAATTAAGTTACTGTGTAAACAATTCCTTATTATTTATGTTCCCCAAACGGAGTTTGGGAACATATTGTTTTTACTCGGTTTCTTATTATTATTAAGGTCTTCCGACTTCCTTAGGAAGACCTTATTGTTATTCGTCGGTTTCCTATTATTATTATTTTTTTTTTTTCATAGTTAGGGCGATATCTCAGCTACGAATGTACAGATTTCAAAGATTTTTACAGGACAGATGCATCAGGTTAATATCTCCAGACATGTTTTTCATTTTTTCAAAATTCGCTTCCGTTCGCGATTTTTGGGGAAATTTGTAATTTTTAAATGGATTTTTGTCACCTAGTTTTCTCGAAAACGGCTAAAGATATGAAATTGAAAGTCATGGACATGAGAGAACATCACATGTAGATGTGCCGAACGTCCTTCATTTTTCGTTGTTTGTACTTCCGGTCGCAAACGGAAGGGAATTCAAAAAGTCTAATTTTTCAACTTTTTTGTTTTTCAATATTTTTCTTTCAGATTTACAGGGTTTATAGACTGTTATCAAAGATATCTAAATATGCTTTCATTTTTCTTCATGCGTGCATTTATTGCAAAGATATGACCGAACCAAACTTTGTCACACTGTCGGGGGTTCGAATCCCGCTGGGGGTGTTGCAAAAATTTTTTCTTTGTTTTTGTCTTTTTTCAGTTGCAAATTACTTTTCTCTATTTTATAACATGTATGGAAGATTTTGCCGAATTTTAAAAGCTATATTTTGAGATATTTTGTGAAATAATTGTTATAATCACGATCTATGTTGAGAAACTACTGTAAATGAACGTAAACGAAAAAAATACATTCTGAAATCTATTCTGTAGGATGACGCAGCATAGAACTCTAAAGAAAAGTCGGTCGGAAGACCTGCTTGTTGCTTTAGCAACAAGAACGCATCTGGTTAAGGTCTTCCGTCTTCACGGAAGACCTTATAGTGATTCTATTGTTTCTTATTATTAGGGTCTTTCGTCTACAACGGAAGACCCTTCTACTATTCTTTTGTTTCTTTTTCACTTTTTTTCTTCTTATTATTATTATTTTTCTCTATACCAATTTTTGTGCAGATGATTTCTCAGAGACGGTTTGGTCGATTTCCTTGAAAATTTCAGAGATGATCTTTAATGATGTGAACCTTATTCATTTTTCTTAATTTTTGGAAATTCACTTCCGGTCACAAGTTATCGCCCTTTAATCGATTTTTATATGACATTTTTGTCCGGACAAAAACTCAAAAACGATAAACGCTAGAAGGCTGAAATTTTCAGGAGAAATAGACGACATATTGAAGATTTGTACCTATGTTTTCAAAATTTCCGGAAGTGCCTAGTATGGAAGCTCGGTAGGGGTCAAAATTTAGGACACGAATCATGACTGATTTTTTGAGACATTTTGCACCATATCTTTAAAAGTATAATTATTTTGTTAAAACATATTGATCAATATTTGTGCAGAATGACAGGATCTTTAGTATGATATTAGGAAAAAAGTGCTGACTCATCACATTAGGGGCCGAGAGGGGCCAAAAGGCTTTATTCGATAACTCTTTAGCAGTCAATATTTTGTTATACATTACTGAAGCAAAAATGTTTATCTCCACAATCTACAACTATATATTATGATATTCATGTCGTATGATACATAATTAGGGACCACAAGGGGCCAGGATGCTAAATCTTTAAAGCTTAATATCTCAAAAGGGAGAAATATTTTGATAAGTAATATTGAACAAAAGATGTTCAAAATCATGTTGTGGACAATATGCGATCTTTCATTTTTCGCTAAACGTCCCTAATAAGGAGTTGAAGGCTGGCCCCTAAATATGTCTTTTGCAAATAACTCAAAAACGAAAAAGAATCTCTGAATAGTTGTTGAACAAAATGTGTTCAAAATCCTAAGAGCTTTAAGATAAAATCATGAAAAAGGGGCTGGGCACTCAAATTAGGGGCCGAGAGGGGCCAAAAGTCTTCAATCAATAACTCTTTATCAGTTAATATTTTGTAATACATTACTGAAGCAAAGATGTTTATCTCAACAATCTACAACTATATATTATGATTTTTTTGTCGTATGGTACATAATTAGGGGCCAAAAGGGGCCAGAATGCTAAATCTTTGCGGTTTTATATCTCAAAAGTGGGAAATATTTTGATAAGTAATATTGAACAAAAGATGTTCAAAATAATGTTCTGAACAATATACAACCTTTCATTTTTCGCTAAACAGCCCTATTAAGGAGTTGAAGGGCTGGCCCCTAAATATTTCTTCTGCAAATAACTCGAAAACGAACGAGAATCTCTGAATAGTTGTTGCACAAAAAGTGTTCAAAATCCTGAGAGGTTTAAGGTAAAATCCAGAAAAAGGGGCTGGATACTCAAATTAAGGGCCAAGAGGGGCCAAAAGTCTTCAATCGATAACTCTTTAGCAGTCAATATTTTGGTATACATTACTGAAGGAAAAATGCTGATCTCAACAATCTACAGCTGTATATTATGATTTTAATGTCGTGTGTTACATAATAAGGGGCCATAAGGGGCCAAAATGCTAAGTCTTTGATGTTTTATATCTCAAAGTCGGGAATATTTTGATAAGTAATATTGAACAAAAGATGTTCAAAATCATGCTCTGAACAATATGCAACCTTTCATTTTTCGCTAAACGTCCCCATTAAGGAGGTGAATGGTTGGCCCCTAAATATTTCTAATGCAAATAACTCGAAAAGGAAAAAGAATCTTTGAACAGTTGTAAACAAAAAATTATGAAATCCTGAGAACTTTAAGATGATATGAAGAAAAAAGGGCTGATCCCTAATATTAGGGGCCGTGAGGGGCCAAAGTTGATTTTCTTATAGTCTTTAATGTTCAATGTCTTCATACAGACTATGGAAAATCATTATTTTAGAATGAAAATCTCAATCAAAATCTCAGCTCATCTCATCAAGAATCCGACGGAAGACCCACTCGTTGCTCGCAACGAGATCGTATCTAGTTATGTTCCCCAAACGGAGTTTGGGAACATATTGTTTTTACTCGGTTTCTTATTATTATTATTATTATTATTATGTCGCCCCGAACGAAGTCGGGGACGACATATTGATATTGTACGCATGTTTTTTTTATCCAGGCTGTTTCTCGGAGATGGCTGGGGCAATCTTCCTGAAACTTTCCTCAAAGGACGATCACTGGTTGTAGTTGTGCAGTGAGGTCGTTCAGTTCCAATATGTCTACCGTTGCCATGGAAACCTGTAAAAAACGACGAATTTTGTCCGAGAGTGTTCTCTCTGGTCCCTTAAACGTTCGTCATGAAACTCTTTTTATTTTAATGATTATTATCTGTAGTTGTGCGCCATGCATTTAAAATTTTCAAATAATTGATTATTGCCATGGAAACCAGGGGAATGTTAAAATTCTTTAATTTCTATTTTCTCAATAACTACTCAAGCAATCGTTTTGAAACTTTCAATATTAATTCCTTGCAATGTGTCAAAGTGATTTTTACTTTTAAAATAATTGTAATGAGTCGCTCACAGTTGTCATAGAAACGTAACAGAAAAAAGGTTAAGATGTACACATGTGTTCTCCAAGGTCTAGGTCAAAGGGTCAAAGTTCTTCGTGTCCAATAAAAGTTCTTACCACAAGGATTACATATTTGAAATACAAAAACCCTAGCACTTACCGTTCAAACATAAGGTAATATGTTCAAGACGACCCCCCCCCCCCCCTTTTGAAGCGCACTGCCAGTTAGAATTGCACATATCTTACATATACAACTTACAAGTAACGTTTTAAAAGTTTCATTCATAAAATTCAGTTCTCCTGATGTGATTTCATAGTTTGCCAACCTTCATTCTTCTTCTGTCTTGTCTCTAGATTTTATAATTATTTTATTTTATCTATATATAAAATAACGATTGTCAACTGCATTTATCAGCATTTCGCATTTTTTTTGTATATCTATTACTTGTATATCATTAATTTCATTAGATAGTGCAAGTATAAATTAGAAAAATGGTACGTTATTTCCGTAGTTTTTAATCATTCATAAATCCTAGGATCCGCTCCTTACAGGTGCGCTAAGCCTTGATCACTACTGTAGACAAAACATTCATCTCGCCGAAATGTTCACGATTCCGCTAAACTGAGAAAGTTTACACATGATTTATCATATCATAAGAAACATCAGCCCTGTACAATGCAGAAATGCTCGAATTGAAGGGGAAAATTCAGGAGTTATTGATGTGAAAAATTCAGGAGTTATTATGTCGCCCCGAACGAAGTCGGGGACGACATATTGATATTGTACGCATGTTTTTTTTATCCAGGCTGTTTCTCGGAGATGGCTGGGGCAATCTTCCTGAAACTTTCCTCAAAGGACGATCACTGGTTGTAGTTGTGCAGTGAGGTCGTTCAGTTCCAATATGTCTACCGTTGCCATGGAAACCTGTAAAAAACGACGAATTTTGTCCGAGAGTGTTCTCTCTGGTCCCTTAAACGTTCGTCATGAAACTCTTTTTATTTTAATGATTATTATCTGTAGTTGTGCGCCATGCATTTAAAATTTTCAAATAATTGATTATTGCCATGGAAACCAGGGGAATGTTAAAATTCTTTAATTTCTATTTTCTCAATAACTACTCAAGCAATCGTTTTGAAACTTTCAATATTAATTCCTTGCAATGTGTCAAAGTGATTTTTACTTTTAAAATAATTGTAATGAGTCGCTCACAGTTGTCATAGAAACGTAACAGAAAAAAGGTTAAGATGTACACATGTGTTCTCCAAGGTCTAGGTCAAAGGGTCAAAGTTCTTCGTGTCCAATAAAAGTTCTTTTCACAAGGATTACATATTTGAAATACAAAAACCCTAGCACTTACCGTTCAAACATAAGGTAATATGTTCAAGACGACCCCCCCCCCCCTTTTGAAGCGCACTGCCAGTTAGAATTGCACATATCTTACATATACAACTTACAAGTAACGTTTTAAAAGTTTCATTCATAAAATTCAGTTCTCCTGATGTGATTTCATAGTTTGCCAACCTTCATTCTTCTTCTGTCTTGTCTCTAGATTTTATAATTATTTTATTTTATCTATATATAAAATAACGATTGTCAACTGCATTTATCAGCATTTCGCATTTTTTTTGTATATCTATTACTTGTATATCATTAATTTCATTAGATAGTGCAAGTATAAATTAGAAAAATGGTACGTTATTTCCGTAGTTTTTAATCATTCATAAATCCTAGGATCCGCTCCTTACAGGTGCGCTAAGCCTTGATCACTACTGTAAACAAAACATTCATCTCGCCGAAATGTTCACGATTCCGCTAAACTGAGAAAGTTTACACATGATTTATCATATCATAAGAAACATCAGCCCTGTACAATGCAGAAATGCTCGAATTGAAGGGGAAAATTCAGGAGTTATTGATGTGAAAAATTCAGGAGTTATTATGTCGCCCCGAACGAAGTCGGGGACGACATATTGATATTGTACGCATGTTTTTTTTATCCAGGCTGTTTCTCGGAGATGGCTGGGGCAATCTTCCTGAAACTTTCCTCAAAGGACGATCACTGGTTGTAGTTGTGCAGTGAGGTCGTTCAGTTCCAATATGTCTACCGTTGCCATGGAAACCTGTAAAAAACGACGAATTTTGTCCGAGAGTGTTCTCTCTGGTCCCTTAAACGTTCGTCATGAAACTCTTTTTATTTTAATGATTATTATCTGTAGTTGTGCGCCATGCATTTAAAATTTTCAAATAATTGATTATTGCCATGGAAACCAGGGGAATGTTAAAATTCTTTAATTTCTATTTTCTCAATAACTACTCAAGCAATCGTTTTGAAACTTTCAATATTAATTCCTTGCAATGTGTCAAAGTGATTTTTACTTTTAAAATAATTGTAATGAGTCGCTCACAGTTGTCATAGAAACGTAACAGAAAAAAGGTTAAGATGTACACATGTGTTCTCCAAGGTCTAGGTCAAAGGGTCAAAGTTCTTCGTGTCCAATAAAAGTTCTTTTCACAAGGATTACATATTTGAAATACAAAAACCCTAGCACTTACCGTTCAAACATAAGGTAATATGTTCAAGACGACCCCCCCCCCCCCCTTTTGAAGCGCACTGCCAGTTAGAATTGCACATATCTTACATATACAACTTACAAGTAACGTTTTAAAAGTTTCATTCATAAAATTCAGTTCTCCTGATGTGATTTCATAGTTTGCCAACCTTCATTCTTCTTCTGTCTTGTCTCTAGATTTTATAATTATTTTATTTTATCTATATATAAAATAACGATTGTCAACTGCATTTATCAGCATTTCGCATTTTTTTTGTATATCTATTACTTGTATATCATTAATTTCATTAGATAGTGCAAGTATAAATTAGAAAAATGGTACGTTATTTCCGTAGTTTTTAATCATTCATAAATCCTAGGATCCGCTCCTTACAGGTGCGCTAAGCCTTGATCACTACTGTAGACAAAACATTCATCTCGCCGAAATGTTCACGATTCCGCTAAACTGAGAAAGTTTACACATGATTTATCATATCATAAGAAACATCAGCCCTGTACAATGCAGAAATGCTCGAATTGAATGTGGCATGTCAGATTCGTTTTCCGGCAGAACCTCAAAAAATGAAAGTGAAATTTCAGAGTTCTCACTGGCGTTATAATACACAAAATAATTCGGCTGATCTTCTTAAAAAATTACATTTGCCAAGCTTTATTGGTAGGAAAGATACTGCCAATTAACAAGTATGAGGCTCAGTTCAGTACATCTGCCCAATTTCTTTTATGCAAGTCTGCAAATTTAGGAACTTGTAATTTTTTCCTGCACTACTTTCTTCTCCTACCGATTCTAAAAATAAAATGGGATGTTCCTAATTAAGGTCTTCCGTTTCCAACAGAAAGGACTGATACGACTCGATGGTTGTCCAAGCTTAGCTAATGGACCATTGTTTAAGTGATGATAAAAATGAAAGTCTTGTCCAGTACGGGGCGACATATGCTATTGCTTGCAATAGCAGACTTTCTAGTTATTATTATTATTCTTTTTTTTCTTCTTTGTTCTCCGGTACTTTTTTGTCCGCGAGTGTTCTCAGAAACTGTTCACCCAACTAAGCTAAAACCTTTTTAGGGTTAATAGGTATGTAGTGTAGGTGTGCGGAACGAAGGTCATTTTGCGCGCATACGCATGCACGTGCGTGCGCGTGAAATGAGTGAAATGACCGATATACTTAATATCGCTATAACTTTTACATATTTTAATTAAATGATTTGAAACTCATTATATAAAGATATATTAATAGTGTAGATAATATGACACTGTCAAATTAGCACGAACTCACGCGCATGCACGTGCGCTTCGCTCTGATTGGCTGAACCAAAAATCTCAATATCTTTTCTGTTTTTTGACGAAATAATATGAAATTTAAAATATAGGCATACTTTAGGATGTTCTACAATATTATATATAAAAATTGTCATGAAAACACGCGCATGCACGTGCGCTGCAATCTGATTGGCTTAAACTTGAAATGGCTATAACTCCCTTATTTTTCAACCAAACAGGATGGGATTTAGAACATAGACAGATATAATAGACTCCTACAAGAAGGTATGGTCATCATGCACATACGTGCACGTGCGCTTCGTTCTGATTGGCTGAAACAAAAATCTCAATATCTTTTTTGTTTTTTTGACGAAATGCTATGAAATCTAAAATATATACATACTATAGGATGTACTACAATATGATATATAACAATTGTCGTGAAAACACGCGCATGCACTTGTGCTGCAATCTTATTGGCTAAAACTGGAAATGGCTATGACTCCCTTGTTTTTCAACCAAACAGGATGGGATTTAGAACATAGACAGACATAATAGACTCCTACAATAAGATATAGTCCTCATGCACGTGCATGCACGTGCGTGCATGTGAAATGAGTAATACTAAAATACGCTTAAATGAGTGTACTTTCTAATACTTCTGGATTAATTGATTTGTTATTAAGTATATAAAAAAAATATATATATATAGAGTAGACAAGATGATGTGGTCATTAGGCTCATGCATTCAGATGAGCACGCGTGCAATGCTAAAATTTAGATACATTTTGTATTCTTCTGGGAAAACGTTGTTTAAGTCTAAATTGCATAAAGTGTGTCTTACTTAATAGCGCTTACAGGGAATACGGCACCAAAAGGGAGTTGGGGAGCGTTTGGGGAACATCTGTAACGGTCCCCGTTACAATTAGCCCTAGTTATTCTTTTTTTTCTTCTTTGTTCTCCGGTACTTTTTTGTCCGCGAGTGTTCTCAGAAACTGTTCACCCAACTAAGTTAAAACCTTTTTAGGGTTAATAGGTGTGTAGTGTAGGTGTGCGGAACGAAGGTCATTTTGCGCGCATTCGCATGCACGTGCGTGCGCGTGAAGTGAGTGAAATGACTGATATACTTAATATGGCCATAACTTTCACATTTTGTGATTAAATGCTTTGAAACTCATTACATAAGGACATATTAATAGTGTTAATAATATGACACTGTCAAATTAGCACGAACTCACGCGCATGCACGTGTGCCTTGCTCTGATTGGCTGAAACAAAAATCTCAATTTCTCTTTTGTTTTTTGACGAAATGCTTTGAAATCTTAAACGTTGTCATGAATTAGGACATCCTACAATATAGTATGGAAAAAATTTCATGAAATCACGCGCATGCACGTGCGCTGCAATCTGATTGGCTGAAACCATATCTCCTTTGTTTTTTGACGAAATGCTTTGGAATTTAAAACATAGTCTTGCATTAGGATATCCTGCAATATGATATACAAAAAATTTCAAGAAATCACGCGCATGCACGTGTGCTGCAACCTGATTGGCTGAAACTTTAAATGGCTTTATCTCCTTTGTTTTTTGACGAAATGCTTTGAAATTTAAAACATATTCATGCATTTGGATATCCTACAATATGATTGAGAAAAAAAATCATGATATCACGCGCATGCACGTGTGCTGCAATCTGATTGGCTGAAACTTGAAATGGCTATAATTTCCTTGTTTTTCAACCAAACAGGATGGGATTTAGAACATAGATAGATATAAAGGCCTCCTACAAGAAGGTATGGTCATCATGCACGTGCACGCACGTGCGTGCATTTGGAACGAGTGAAATTAAAAATACACTTGAATGAGTGATTTTTAATACTTTTGGACTAAATGGTTTAATATAAAGTATATTTAAATATATAGAAAATTGTTGACAAGATGATATGATCATTGCGCACGTGTATTCACATGCGCACGCCTGCAATGTTAAAATTTGAATATAATTGGTATCCCTCTGGGAAAACGTTGTTAAAGGCAAAAATGCACAGATGTTGTCTTATTTGATAAGGCTTACATGGAATATGGCACAAAAAGGGAGTTGGGGAGGGTTTGGGGAACATCTGTAACGGTTCCCGTTACAATTATCACTAGTTTACATAAATGATCCTTTTACATCTATAATCAAATGGGTATTTGCATTTGAAATATTTAAAATTTACTAATGTTTGTATTTCTTGAATAACAAATTTTTCATATTAAATTAGATTTCATTGATTGTTACAAAATATTTATAAAGATACTGTCTCTGAAAATTATCCTGAATTGATCATCATTCCAGAATTATGAGGATATAAATTATAAATATATTTAAATGCCTTTCAATATAATCAACATTTTCCAGGTACGGGGGTTAATTGGAATACTTTCACCAAACCCCCGACGGTGGACGGAGATTTCGCCTTCGGTGACGCCATCTTGATGCTCTGGGTAGATAGTGCCATCTATCTTTTGATCACGTGGTACATAGACGGAGTCAGACCTGGAGAATACGGAGTTCCGCAACCATTTTATTTTCCATTTACGGTTTGATTGTAGTTTATTTATGATGAGAGAGATAGAAAGAGGGATAGAGAGAAAGAGAGAGATGTGAATTTTAGTCATGTACACTGTATCTATTTATCTCTTAGATGGGTACTTTCACCCTTCTATTAATTAAATAACGACGTAAAAATTGTATGAAGCAGTTTGTCTTATCATCATTTTACTTTATCTTATATCTTAACTACAGCACAAATGAATAATACGTTGAATAAAATATTCTGAATTTTTAAGTCAATCTTGAATTTTTTTTATATATCATATATTTATTTTAAATGCAGAAAACTTACTGGATTGGTGGTAAGCAGATTCCCAAGACATCTCAGGAAGATGTTGATCAGGATCCAAAATATTTTGAGAAAGAGCCATCAGGTCGTAAAATTGGAATAAGCATGAGGCATTTAGAAAAGGTATTACTAGAATTGTCAGTTATATACCAAATATACTTACCTATAAGTCGGTTTTTTGGGAGTTAAATATTGGTATAAATGTCTATTTCCGACTTATTGGCAAGTCATAAAGAGATATATTTTTGGAGGGTGAAATTTAGTATTTTATTTGCATTTCCGACGATTATCGAAGAAAATGTCTGGATATAATATATAATTTATGAATTCTTAGATTATACATACACTGTATAAAGTACAAGATTTTACATATTTTTAAAAATTTATTTGTTTTTGAAGTGAGCAATGCCTTTTTTAAAAAATAATTTAAGAATAAATATCATTGTCATTTCGAAAAATATCAATTAAAACCAGGTTAAAACATCAATTGATTTAAGTGAAATTGTCACCCGATTTTGGCAAAAAATGTACCGATTGATAAGCGGGTCAATAGCAAATCTCACCAAAATAACGTCAAAAAATACAACCGACTTATAGGCGAGTATATACGGTATGCTAGTACTGTCAGTTCTTTTGGAGAAAAATGGATCAAGTTTATGAATAATTTATTTTAAAAAATAATAATTGTAATATTATTTTAATGTTTCTGAAAGATGTAGAATATTCTAAACAATTTATCCAAAGTTAAAAAAGAGTCAAAATGAAATAAGAACTTTGTACCACAGTACGTAATTAAGGACTGTTGAGAACTTATAGCTTTGAAGGTATCAAAATATCAATTTCTGACAGGTGTACACAACTGGTATTAAAGAAACTGTTGCTGTCAAGGATATGTCTCTTGATATATTTCAAGGACAGATAACTGCCTTGCTTGGACATAATGGCGCAGGAAAAACAACAGCGATGTCAATGTTAACAGGTGTGATCTTCATGCCATCATGTCAAAGGAAACTGCAATTCAAAAATTATCATGTCAGAGTGATTTTCTGTTTTCAATTTAATATATTTTTGTTTTAAGTATTATTTTTCTAAATTAGGATTTATTCCATCAACTTCCGGTTCTGCAAGAGTGAACGGATATGACATAAATGATGACATCAGTAGTGTGCGGGGAAGTCTTGGAATGTGTCCTCAGCATGATATTTTGTTTGACACGCTAACTGTAAAGGAACACCTAGAATTTTATTACAAAGTAATACAAATACCCATAACAGGTTTTTAAGAATGCTGTGTGCTGTTGTTCAATAAATAATTCATATAAAATAAAGTCATAATAGATGCTTAACCTAAATAAATCATACAGCAGTAACGTTTAAGTTATGCTCTCTGATATAGCTCAAAGGATGCAATAAATCCAAAATGAAAGAAGATATCAGGAACACACTACGCATTTTCAAGATTGAGGAGAAACGAACTGATCTTGCAAGAAACTTATCTGGAGGACAAAAAAGGAAATTATCGGTAGCCATATCATTGGTTGGAGGCTCAAAGGTATCTATTTTTTTGTCCCCGCTTCCATTTAAAGTACCGACTTTCTGTTTCACACTTTTGTGTCCTCGCGATTTCTCGAGAAGCATTTAGTTTTGTCAGTGAAATTTAAGTTATCAACTCCTTTTGGCCAAGACCCCTATTGTTTGGGGAACAAATGTCAAGGTGATAAATTCATTAACTCGGTCTTTATTCAGACTTTATGATGAAAATGATGAAAAAAACAATGTTCATTTTGTTCTTTGAAACTTTTGTTGAACTCTTAAGAGTTAAGTAAATAGATGTGATCCGTTAAATCCTTTGGTCTATCGTTTCATGATTAATACTTTCATTTTACAAATTTTGAAAATTAAAAAAAAAGAAGAAATCTTTAATATGTAATACAATTTATTTGATTTACTAATTCCTTAAAATTGATATCAATAACACTTTGAATTTGAATCATTTGTATGTTTTGTTTTCTTGTATCATCATACATTTTATACATATGGTTTCTGAATATTGTTTAGGTAATCATATTAGACGAACCTACCTCAGGCATGGATCCCGGTGCACGGCGCCAATTGTGGGATATCCTTCAGAAATTTAAAGAGGACCGAACTATTGTTCTGTCTACGCATTTCATGGATGAAGCTGATGTTCTTGGTGACCGTATTGCTATCATGGCCGACGGAGTTGTCAAGTGCTGTGGTTCTTCATTGTTCCTTAAAAAGCTTTATGGTAAAAGCAATTTTATGATAGAATTATAAATCAGGATCCACTAAAAACAATTCACTACATAAAAAATCTCTGTGCAGATTATATAGAGCTTGAAACAAAAAAAATCTGTATAAAAGCTTTGCTTAGAGAAGAAACTCCGTATCATATGCTAGTAATGGAGATTTTAACCCTTTTCAGTTTAAGCACCGTTCAGGAATACAGCGTATATTTATTTCATTTATAAAATAAATAATAAATTACAGGAGCCGGATATCACTTAGTGATGGTCAAAGAACCAAGTTGCGATGCGACCAAATTATTAGAAACAATAAGAAGCCGTATTTCGTCTGCGTCTTTGGAAAGCAGTGTTGGGGCGGAGTTGTCTTTTCTTCTTCCCACAGAAGAGCTACCGTCCTTTGCAGACCTATTCACAGATCTTGAGGAAAATGCTTCAAGACTTGGGATAAGTGGCTTTGGAATTTCTGCGACAACAATGGAAGAAGTATTTTTGAAGTGAGCTAGTGACTTTTCCTTTGCTTTATCAAACCAAAACAGATTTAAATCTTCATGAAATTATCTTTATTATAGCTCAAACGCACTCTATTTGCAACTCCTTGTTGTAATTCTCCATCGTTGTCTAGATTTTTTGCTGAAAAGATGTCAATCGTCACGTCAACTTATATATATATATATATATATATATATATATATATATATATATATATATATATATATATATATATATATATATATATATATATATATATATATATATATATATTCCTCCGTCAGGAATACACCTTGCAGTGAACATTTTGATTCATGTGCGAATGGAAACTTTTTGATATTTCCATTTTATAAAATCACAGAAGATAATGAACAATTACGGAGGGCCAAGGAAGATTATCTTGTTAAATTATTTCAGCCTAAATTAAATGTAAATTGAACTTTTTAGTTCTAAAGAAATGGTCCATTTTATTACAATGTACATGTTTTTAACTCTATACATTTGGCGCTTTTTTGACATTTACCTGTGCAAATGTATAACGCTGCCTTTGTGACGTCATAATAACGACGTCATAACAACGAAGTTGTATTGTTATTATTATCATTGTTACACTCTGAAGAGCCGTAACGGCGAAAGCGCTTAGTGTAAAAAATTAAACGTAAACTTGTTTGTTTATCTTGGATTTAATTTTGATTTATAACTTAACCTATACCATGGACTTCTACAACATTTTCCCTATGTAATAACCGGTATATGGAAACAGGATGACACAAACAAGAGCTAGATCGGCAGCAAATATGGACAACGCCCTTGAGGAAATAACAGGTAAACTCTTTACCTTAGACGACAAAATTGAGAAACTTGCTGATATTGTCGAGAAATTAGAGAGACATATTCAATGTTGTGATGACAAACTTAACTTTCTTATTAATGTTCGTGCTGAAAATTTCCACAACATGGATTTATCAAAGAAAAAGGAAAACATGAACTACAAATCTAATGTGGATTTCATTCTACAAAGTAGATATGACAACAATATCATTTCTGCAATGTATCGAGAAAAACGAGAAATGATTCAAACATGGAGAAAGTATCTTAATGATAGAAGACAGGCATATTGGAACGCCATTAGATGTGAAAATCTTGCTGATACATACGAGAAATGGAGAAAACAAGAAGATGTTATTCTTCCACGGAAATTCAGGATTAAATCAATCAATCAGGAACCTGACGAAGAAACAAAAATTAGGTTAAATTTAGCCATCCAGAAATTTGACGCTGAAATAACTCTCCTAAGAATTCGCGTCCCGAAGTATCAAACCAAGTTTGAGGAATGTGATTCAAGAATGGAAAAAGAAATTTCAGAGAAAACCAACGCAGATATGAAAGCCAAACTTCTTGATCTATGGAAAACAGAAGTGAAATATGAAATGGATAAATCTGCTATGATTCTTGAAAGAAAGCAGGAGTGGCTCAATAATTATGAGAAAAATTACGGGAAAGAAGTGATGAAAATTTCCCCAAACACACAAAAAAATCATAGGAGCAAAACTAATGGAAATAAAAATTCCGGATATAGGAAGGAAAACCAATCTTCTTACGCTGATGCTGTACGCAATAATGAACCACAAGGATTCGATTTTCGCGCTCAAAAGAACAACTTTTCATATAAGAACAGACCAGTTAACCTTCACAATAAGAATAACCAAATGAGCAAGAAAAACTCAGCAAATATGGTGAGAAATAAGAATAACCAAAGAATGACACAACAAAACAATGCCGGAATATGGGATCAAAATTGGAATATACCCCCTAAAAGAAACCAAGGATGGCTGACAGATCAAAACAGTTTACACAATTCTAACAGTAAACAAGAAAACCAAACAAGGAATAATTCGAAGAATAATTTTTTGTGGAAAGGACGCTTCCACAAGGGCCGCCAAAAACCATTCCGATTTCTGCAAATTTAGACAACTCAGAAGAAAGTCAAAATCAGAAAATCGATGTAAAAATTGTTAATTTATCTCGGAGAGATATTACAGAAGATGAAATGAAAATTCTAGACAGGGGTTTGAAATTTACACCCACACCAAAACAGGATAATGTGGATCTCATAAAAGATGCCGATGAGTTTTGTCGGAAACTTAGACTTAGAGAATATTTTCAAAATGAAGAAAATACGGACGAATCACTTGTGAGAAATAAAAGTAATTTCAAACCACCACCTAATAGGGATAAACATTTAGATGAATTTATCAGATGTTTACAAAGTTCCGCCAGAAATAATGACATCTCCATCAATACCCATATTAAGGATAATATCACTAGACGGGAGCGAGAAGCTATCAAAAGCCTCGCAAGTGATAATTCTATTATTATAAAGGAAGCAGATAAAGGGGGAGCAATTGTCATTATGGATACGGATCATTACAAAGAAATGGTTTTGGACCAACTTAATGACAACAATTTTTACAAAGAACTAGACTCTAATGAAGACGGTAAAACCATGCGCAGGATTAAGAAATTTACAACTAATTTTGCGGATAATTTAACCAAAAAGGAAGTGGATTATTTAACCAATTTTGAAATTAAATCTAGTAACTTTTATGGTTTACCAAAGATCCACAAATCCAAAGAAATACAGACCGGACTTGAAGGTAAAAACTCATTATATATAAAATTACCTCGACCAACGGATTTGAAACTTAGACCAATTGTAGCAGGCCCTGCATGCCCCACGCACAGAATCAGTAACTTGTTGGACATACTTCTAAAGCCTCTATGCCAACTTGTACCAAGTTATGAAAGGGATGATTTGGATTTTCTCGGCCACATTCCAGATACAGTTGAACTAAATACTGAGATGGTTAGTTTTGATGTGACGAGCCTCTATACCAACATACCGCATACACTTGGACTAGAAGCAATCGCTTTTTGGATTGACAAATACCGCAATCAAATTCATGAAAGATTTTCTAAAGACTTTATTCTAGAAGGAATAAAAAAAGTATTAGAGAATAATCATTTTGTTTTTGACGGGAGAATTTTTCTACAAATTAAGGGAACAGCGATGGGCACGAAAGTCGCCCCAACCTATGCCACCCTAGTTCTCGGTTTTTTGGAAGAAAAAATGTTCAACGAAACAGAGAGACGATTTGGAAATCCTTTTGCGCAATACATACGATTTAATTGGAAACGATACTTAGATGATTTTTTCATTTTTTGGACAAGATCTACTGAGGATTTACAAGAATTCCATACCATTCTTAACAATCTACATCCCTCTATTAAATTTACCTTGGGAAAGAGCAGGTTAAAACTACCCTTTTTGGATATTCTTATAATTAAGGCAGGTCGAAAAATCATAACAGATTTATACTACAAGAAAACGGATTCCCACCAATATCTCGTATTTAATTCTTGCCACCCGTCACCCGTTAAACGTAACATACCTTTTAATATGGCAAGACGTGTTTGTACCATTGTCATAGATGAAACCAGAAGAAATGGCCGTCTACAGGAATTAAAAACATTTTTGCTCAGACAAAAATATCCTAACGACTTAATAAATATAGCAATTGAAAAGGCCAAGTCAATACCGACTGCAGATCTCCGTTCTACTAGACGAGGACGCCAGGAAAACAATAAGGAAATTCCGCTGGTCGTTACCCATAACCCACGGAACCTTAATATATATAACTCCGTAAAACAGTGTTTTCCTATTTTACAGCAAATCCCAAAATTTAAAGGAATTAATTGACCCGAAAAGCATCATCTATAGCCGACGCCAACCTCCAAACCTAAAGAAACTCCTAACAAGAGCCAGATTCTCATCGGATGAGGAAAAACGCACTGTAGCCAAATGTATGGATCCCCTGTGTGGAACCTGCCCTTATTTTAAAACCGGAGAAAAGTTTACATTTAAATGTGGTAAAACGTTTACCGTCAATGCGAATATGTCATGCAAAACTAGAAATTTAATATACTGTGTGACTTGTACTTCATGCGGGGAAAACTATATTGGACAGACCGGTAACAAACTAGCTGACCGTGTAAGAGTCCATAAACAACAAATACGAGACCCCTCCGTCAGGAATACACCTTGCAGTGAACATTTTGATTCATGTGCGAATGGAAACTTTTTGATATTTCCATTTTATAAAATCACAGAAGATAATAAACAATTACGGAGGGCCAAGGAAGATTATTTTGTTAAATTATTTCAGCCTAAATTAAATGTAAATTGAACTTTTTAGTTCTAAAGAAATGGTCCATTTTATTACAATGTACATGTGTTTAACTCTATACATTTGGCGCTTTTTTGACATTTACCTGTGCCAATGTATAACGCTGCCTTTGTGACGTCATAATAACGACGTCATAACAACGAAGTTGTATTGTTATTATTATCATTGTTACACTCTGAAGAGCTGTAACGGCGAAAGCGCTTAGTGTAAAAAAATTAAACGTAAACTTGTTTGTTTATCTTGGATTTAATTTTGATTTATAACTTTACCTATACCATGGACTTCTACAACATTTTCCCTATATATATATATATTTTTTTTTCAATCATTCCGGTCATTTCAGAGTGAAAGAAAATACAGAAGTTAACACGACCTATAAAGAAGAGATTACGGACGAAAAGCATGCCCTTCTCCAGGCTCCTGGGGGATCGTCCCCTCGGTCATACACCACAGAAATAAGTGATGTGCTGGGTAAGAAAGCCCAGTTAATGTACGGAAATTAGCGAGCTGAAATGCCACCTGTAGAAAAATGTATTTATTAAAAATCGTGCTTGGTTCTCACCTCATCTGCGCAAAAGCTCGATTTAAAAAAAAATGTTCACTAGATATGCAAGTATTCTCGTAGATAACTTTTGCACGATTTGAGTCGGACCGAAAGTTCTTGCTATCCTGGAAAACAGTTGTAAGATGCCTAATTTCAATGGTCTCAATTTTCCTTAGTATCGGTAGTTCTATAATTTAGACAAATAACAAGATAAAGGTATGTTTGCAAACATAGATTTCGATGAACACAAGACTTGAATTATTATTGCAAGGTAGAACAAACTCTAAGGTTTATGCTTGTTTCTTATTAATTCATATTTTGATATATATATTTAAACTGAGGCAAAAAGTTACTGTGTATCTGGTAAATAAATGTAGGATTTATTTCTATCTGTAATCAGCATATTGGAGTGCGAGTGCTAACCAGGGAACCTTTTTAAAATAAAGTATATTATTATTAGTGGTACCTCTTAGGGTGATCTTAGGAAGAATGATTACAGTAAAGTTTTATATTTTTGTACTTTAATTAAACTTCTTATGTGGATGGATAAATTCTTTTTATATAGATTTTAACATGGGACTCGAAAAGAACACTGGAAGTACAGCCATATTCCAACAATTTCTGGGATTATTGATGAAGAAAGCATTACATACCTGGCGAAGCCGATTTATGATGATAATTCAACTTGCTGTTCCTATATTACTGACAGTATTCGGACTTTTGGGTGATCATTTGCTGAACAATCTAACGCAGCAATCGCAGCCTCCTTTAAAATTAGATTTAGAACCTTTTCCAAATGCCCTAACCACTGTGACTCAAGGACCAAACTCCACATTCTTTTCAGAAAATATGACAGAAGAGTATGAGAACTATTTCAGAAAACTGGGTCTAGAGGTTGTGGAGTATGAACCCAGGTCTCCTTCAGAGTTTAACATTAACAAATTTTGGCTGGATCATAATCAGCGGATTGGGCAAAGACCTTTTAATTCGCGATATGTCATTGGATTTGGATTGAATAAAAGCCACATTATTAGTTACTATAACGGTGAAGATCGTCATGCAATTGGAATTAGTTTGTCCTACACGATAGATTTTCTTTTTAAATTCTACTATGGTCACTCTAGAAGCATACAGACTATAAATCACCCATTTCCACCCATAGAGGATAACTATCATTCAGACCAGGGATCGGGTTTGGCATCTTTTAAAGGTCTCACCATTGCTTTGTGTGTTTTATTTGGTTTGTCCTGTTTAGTAGCTTCCTTTGGCGTGTTTCATATCAAAGAGAAGTCCTCTGGGGCCAAACATTTACAAAAGGTGAGTGGGGTCGGCTCCACCGTCTTCTGGTCGGCCAATTTTACATGGGATTTCATCCATTACCTGATTCCAATATTTCTTATCCTGCTTTGTTTTACTGGGTTCAAAATTCCACCATATACAGAAGAAAATAGACTGGGAATTGTGTTCCTGAGTCTGTTCCTGTTTGGTTTAGCTTCAATTGCATGGACCTATCTCTTACATTTCATCTTCCGATCGCCTGCAGGTGGAACAGTAGCTATGATAATAATCAACACGGTAGCAGGTGAGTTACTCCATAGCCGACATTTTACATGCATTTGTTTTTCTGTTTCAATATAAGAAAAAAGCAGAGATCAGAACATAAATGCCGGTCAAAATCCTTCTGAAGTACTGAGCATACCATTGCCACCTTCGCACTATTTGTTTTGTTTTCAGGTTTGTTTACCTTGCTGATGGTCACATTCCTGCATCTAAGTCCAGAGACCAAAAGTGCTTCCGACGCGATGGATAAAGTCTTCATGATAATTTTGCCTCATTTCTGTTTGGGCAAAACATTTACGAATATCTATGTGCGATACGATCTTCGATTACAATGCCATAAAGATTTAAATCAAAATATTACACAAACCTTCTTGACTAATGGTACAAAATTCAAAGTAATATTATCAACGCACCTAAAGTTTTTAAATTATATTTGAATTTTAGGGGAAAAAATGGATTATTTTATTTAAAAAACTATCTGCCTCCTTTCTTGTTGAAAAATGTATAGTCAGCATTCTTAACATTATTTTTATAAAATTTCAATTTAGAAGAAAAGTGTCCCAATGACAATTATTTGGAGTGGGACTACCCCGGATGTGGTCGATACCTGTTGATGATGTCAATACAGTGGGTTGCCTTTATGACTTTAGTGTTTCTCTTGGACAGCGGAGTAATACAGCGTTTTGTCTACCGAACTCTGTGTAGTCCAAACGGCGGAGCTACAGACTCTGATAATGATCCCAGCATTAATCCGGATTCGGACGTTTTAGAAGAAGCAATGAGAATACACTTAACTCAAATAGGCGACCTGATGACAACTGACAAACTTATAATCAAAAACCTAAAGAAAACGTATGGCGTAGTCGAACATTTTCATGCAGTAAAGGGAATAAGCGTAGGAATTTCTGAACAAGAATGCTTTGGATTGTTGGGTCAAAATGGCGCAGGGAGAACGACAACATTTAAGATGCTGACAGGCGATGTAATGAGCTCTAGTGGGCATGCGTACATCAATAGTTTAAGTGTTGATAGTCAGATACAGCAGGTTTGTTCTTGAAGTTCTGTATATAATTAAGTTTGTAAAGCATTTGGCCCTTTTTTTGACGTAACCGGAAGAAAGGGAAAAATTCCCGTTAAGATTGCAGATTTTTATTTGTAATTACACTTACGAGTAGTTTTGTTTTTCACTTTAACAATAATACAACAATTGTGCATAATATCATTAATATGTATGTTCATGTGGTATGTTCAAGTTTGCCTTAAAACAAGTTTTCTTGGAGGGAAATGTCAAAATATGAATATTGTCCTGGATAAATCAGGATTTATTTAACATATTAATTCCTTAATATTTATTATTTCAAGTACTTCAAATTTTATTGTGGATGTATATTGTTACTTCTATTACACCACAGGTCCATCGTTGTCTTGGATACTGCCCCCAGTTTGACGCATTGATTGACACTTTAACAGGAAGGGAGATTTTAAGACTTTACGCCAGAATGAGGGGGATTAACGAGAAGGAGATCAGTCGCGTCATTAATGACCTATTGGACGCAGTGACGCTCACAAAATATGCAGACAAACTGTGTGGGACATACAGGTACAAACATTGTGTATCTGTGTTTCCCCTGTTTAAATTTTTCGCAGCTAGAATTAGTGTGAATCATACTTTCTTTTTTTAAAAATGTAATTTCTATCCAATCTTAAACAACATTGTTAAAAAGACTTTCTAAAGTTTTTATTTTTTCCTCTAAAATAATATTCCAAAAGTTTTAACTTCTCGCAACAAAATTCATATATTCCGTTTTTTAAAGTAAATAGAAAAAAAATATAATGATTCAATTTATTTGTTCTTTTGTTAAAGTGGTGGAAACAAAAGGAAATTGAGTACTGCCATTGCATTGATTGGAGATCCTCCAATCCTGATGCTGGATGAACCGACGACGGGCGTGGATCCAGCCGCGCGAAGGCAAATGTGGAATGTACTTTCGAAGGTCCGAGCCAGTGGAAGAACGCTTGTTTTAACGTCTCACAGGTAGAATATTATGCCCCTGTAGTAAAAGATTCGGAAGAATTGAGTTTTTGTCCTGCCCTTGTTTTTGTCCGTTATTTTTTTTTTCACAGGTACATTTCTTGTGACAAAACTTTCCTTTGCAATTTTATCATCATGTCCTTTTGATCGTGACCGTGGAGTTTGTCCTTTAAAAAAATATGTAATCTTGACCAAAATTTTAAAAAAATCCTTTGCTAGGGATTTAATGTTTCAGATATAGTATCCTTTTAACAAGCCATTACGTTGGGTTTCATTAATTTTGGCTCTTTTACCTTGAACTTGGAGTTTTGCCTAATTTTTCACAAATTCACGGATAAAAAGTTTCCTTTTCACTAAACATAAACACAAGTAGGAAAATATGAAGAATAATAGGTATTTCTTGATAACTATTTCTGTCTGCATCTTAAAAATTTTGTTTTTCTTTTCAATTTTTTCTGTTACGAACATTATCGTAATACACAGAGCAGTCTGTATATGCTTCATTATTTGTCCTCTATTTGTCTTTTGTAGTTTTGAGATTGAAAATGCAAGTCCAACCAAGTTTTATCTGATTTCAAAGCATGGGCTATTTTTATATTTTTTTATTTTATCTGTAAATCATGGTAATTTATACAAAATCATGTTTCTTTGAAAGAGACGATATAACTTAAAACAGATAGAAATGAATAGCCTCTTTCAAAAAAATTGTTTTGAAAACATTTTCAACATTGAAATGGTTGTTAATGTCCATATAATTTAAAAAGTAAGAATTTGTTTTTAGCACATTGTTGCTCCTTTTCCTACCAATAAGATGATTTGAAAGTAAAATCTGTCAGTATAATATAATAAACTATTTTTACTTACCATTAGCATGGAAGAGTGTGATGCCCTTTGTACCAAAATAGTCATTATGGTTAACGGAAGATTCGTGTGTTTTGGTAGTCCCCAACACCTAAAGAACAAATTTGCACAAGGTTACACCTTGACGGTGAGACTAGAACGTGACAATAACGGAAACGCAGTGGATTCTGGTCCGTTATGTAATCATATAAGTAGAGAGTTTCCAGGAACCGAAGTTTTCGATGATCAACAAGGCTATCTCGATATTCACATTCCACATCAAAAATTATCATTAGCAAAACTTTTCAAAGAAATGGAGAAAACAAAATCTGAATATAATGTAGAAGATTATTCAGTACATCAGACGTCCCTGGAGCAGGTGTTTCTTGGGTTCACGAGGATGCAGGTGCCCCCTGTGGACAGAAAGAGGGCGTGCCCTTGTTGTTTCTGTTGTAGGTCGAAACCAGCTTCATAAAGCGAAGGCGTAGGCCTCCCGGGTGACAGAACTTTGATATCCATCTTCTGATTTATATGCATTTAAGTATCTATACTCAAAAAGTGAAAAGATCTAGATCTTCATATTTTTTTCTTTTTTGGAAATATATATGAGCTCATTGTAGATAGTTGGGAGACAACTCATGTTTATAAATAGTATATTATAATGTTAAGCCATTTTTTATTTACAAAAAATATATTCGAACTTTCTAAGAAGTAATTAAACATCTGCTGTGGACTTCAGCTTCTAGTATAAGTTAAAGATATATCGACGATGTATTATCAATTAACAAGAGTTTCTTCAATTCAAATTTCGACTCGAAGTATCCCAGTGAATTAGGAAACGGTACCACAAAGTCTGACACATCTATGTCATATTTCGTCATTTGAGTTGATTTTTTTAATTGTAATCTAGCAATAGAAATTTCAAAATAATGGTGATGACTTCAACTTTCCTGTCTTATGTAGCAATATACACTGTGCATCTTAATTACATCTTAATTACCTAGGTAGGAGATTTTTGTTTTCCAGTTCATTCAATACAGATGAGGATGTTGTATACCAACGAACATTTTGTTTAGCAAGGCAATCTATTTACAAACAATTATATAAAAACGAATATCAACAGCCTCATTTAAAGTCATCATTTCGAAAGTAAGTTCTATCGGCGACAAAATGACCTTGTCAGGAAATACAATTTAATTTATCATTAAACCGAATGCTGCCTGAAGGTTGTCATACTTACTGTATTGAGTTGTCTGTGGATTTTGTTTGCTTTCCTGATCATGACAAGAGCATTGTGACCAGTCGACAGGGGATTCTTACTTCTACATGGTACCTGATCCCAGGTCCTTGTTCTGCTCTCGTTTTTTTTTTATTGTTTCAATGGACTTCGGGACTTGATATCTGTCTTTTAAACACATATTTTTGATTCTAGATGTACGAGGGCTGTTCAATAAATAATGTCCTGAACTATATGACATACATTACAGATATCGTATGACATTAAACTTGACTTTCCTTCATTTTTGAATCTTTCGTGAATTTATAACAGTTTATGTGACCACTTTTCATCACATAGTTTCATCATGAGAAGCTGGGAAACAAGGGCTTTTCGAGACACTGCATTATAAATAAATGGTAAACAATCAGTAAACTAGGGTGAAAATAAAGGCTTCATTTAGGCTGCCGTAAAACTTGTTAAAAATCCCAAAGAAATATTAACTGAAATATGTGACGTTTACAGCAACCAGTGTCTGTTTGATAGGCAAAAGAGCAGGTGGATTTCAATGATAAAAAATTATATAATGGGCATCAAAAATGGGTACCCTCCTTGCCAACAAAAATTATAACAACTTATGTACTGTTCGCCAAATTTCAACAAATAATACTTGATGATGTATGATTGACTTTAAGACACATAGCAAATTTGATAGACATCACATCGGGGGTAATTTACACTGTTTTTAAGAAACATTTGGCGTTAAAAAAGCTTGATACTCAAAGGTCCCCCTATATTTTGAAAAAAATAGTGAAAATGACAGCGTGTACGAAATTCTTAACAATTATTTTAAAATATCAGTAATTGTACTTATCCACGTTTGTTTTATTTTCAAACAGGTATTGGAACATGAATCTATTGCTTAAAATCCTAAAAACAAAGTTTACCATAAGATGTACTTGAAAAAAAGGCGAATTTCTGAAAAGTACACAGGTATTGAAGAGCACAAAGACAGTTTTACATGTAATTTTCTTAAACATTTGTGGTAATGTTATTCAAAATCGTAATCAGAGAGACAGTTTAATTTCTGGAGGAGTCTAGAAAGCACTTTTTTGGTCAAAAAATCAAAAGGTTTATTAGAGGAAGGGCCCAGAATCAGGAATCCACTACATTGAATTTCTCCAAGAAAGCTTCCAAACCCGCATGTCCTGAAGAGTAAAGGGGTTTTCGGGATAAACAGAAAGTTTATGTTTTTTGACATTAACAATTTTTGCAAGATCGTTGACCTTTTGACTTGTTTCTATCTCCAAACTTAGAAAAAATACCTTTCAGAAGGATGAATCAAGTCCGGGAAATCGTTGGATCTGCCATTTTCCAGTATACTGAGGGTCATATTCAAAAATGAGTTCTACAAACGATCAGAAATTAGATAAAAAATGTTACGGACATGTATTTTACTTAAAAAAGATTAATTAGTAAAATCATGAAGAATAAATCATTAAAAAGTGTCTTTTGCTTCTTCCTGAGCACCGAGGACATTATTTATTGAACAGCCCTCGTATGTTAACTAAAGTGACACAGAAATTCCTACATTAAACAACAATCCAGTGTGTGTCAGCTTTTTGTTACACTGTAGGTAACCTTGTTGAAATATGTTATCTTTTGACTGGTATCTTTTTTTTTTTAGATTTTCATTGACCTAACCTTCTCCATTGAAATGGGTACTATTAAGTCAATCTAAGTTCAAAGGTATGATGAGCAAGTGTATATATATTAAAATATTGTCAATTTCATGGCCCATTTTGATGCATTCTTGTTTTACGGTAGTGTTCTGTCGAAAATGAAATGCACATTTTTTTGAAGTTCTTCTTCTAGGATGTTTAGCAGATAAACTAACTTAATGTGCATAATTATAATAAGCAGTTGTCGTCAATTCAAAATTGTGAGTTTCCCGATCCCTTTTTAAGTGATTCTAGTGTTTAAGCGAAAAGTGGTCACTTCCGCCCCCTAGATATCTCGAGTTGTTCCATCTACAAAAGGTCAAGGAAGAAGAACCTATAATTAGCTCTATGAACTTGTTCAAGTTCTCTGGTGTCTTCTTTACATCAGAGGAGCTCTACGACTCGTATAGCATTAAATACCAAAAATATCAAGGGACGGTGCACTTAGATTTTTGCAACAGTCTGGACAGCATTCCTCTTCATAACTTAAGTAGATGAGCAATTCAATAATGATTGTGTCGTATAAAATTGAGATAAGCAAAGCTTAAAACAAATTTTACCATATATTGGTGTTTAAATGTAAATAACTTACAACATACAGATTATTGCTGTTTGTCAATCTACAGAGGACATATCAAGGGACATCCATGAATTCTATTCAAATATAAAACATGGGTAAAATGTTGCATTACACCTCATGTCTAATGTAGATAAGCAAAATGGGCATAATTATATTTACAAAATGTAAAAGCTAAATATTTAATATCATGTACAGTGTTTTATGAATTGCATGACTTAAGACTCTAATATAGACTGGCAAATGTTTCTTACTAAAATC